CTAATACTTCCCTGGCACCTGTTTCGTTCTGCTCTTGGTATGATATGATGATGATGATGATGATGATGAGGCAGTGTGTGCCTCTGTCACCCAGGCTGGAGTACAGGAGCACCACCACAGACCACTGCAGCCTCCACCTCCTAGGCTCAAGTGATCTTCCAGCCTTAGCCTCCTGAGTAGCTGAGACCACAGGTGCACACCACCACACTTGGCTAATTTTCTTATTCTTTTTTTTTTTTGAGACGGAGTTTCGCTCTTGTTGCCCAGGCTGGAGTGCAATGGCGCGATCTCGGCTCACCGCAGCCTCCGCCTCCTGGGTTCAGGCAATTCTCCTGCCTCAGCCGCCCGAGTAGCTGGGATTACAGGCATGCAACACCATGCCCAGCTAATTTTTTGTATTTTTAATAGAGACGGGGTTTCACCGTGTTGACCAGGATGGTCTCGATCTCTTGACCTCGTGATCCACCCGCCTTGGCCTCCCAAAGTGCTGGGATTACAGGTGTGAGCCACTGAGCCCGGCCCTAATTTTCTTCTTTTTTGTAGGGGAGAGTCTCGCTCTGTTGCCCAGGCTGCTCTCGAACAGCTGGCCTTAAGTGATTCTCCTGGCTCGGCCTCCCAAAGTGGTGGGACTACAGGTGTGAGCCACTGCTCCTGGCCAGTACCTTATTATGCTAATGAAAGAACTGTCTTTTCTCTAGCTCCTGGGATGGCTCTAGGGTGATTTCTTCACACTGGGGATGAGGAGGATTCACAGAGACGTTCCTATAGAGGTGGAAGAAGAACCACCATTTGGCAACAACCCCTGGAAACCTCTGGAGAACAAAGGAGGAGACCCTTCGCCAAAGAGAGGCATTCCACTGTGTTGGAACCTGCTGACCACCAACCCATAGCATTTTGCCCTTTCTTCCTTGCTAATCCAACCGTAGATTAATTGAAGAGGTGAGAAGTTCTGAGATCCAGGCTGGAAGAGGAATGATTGGTCTCCCTGGTTCTCAAGGGATAATGTTGCCCCCTAGAGGACATTTTGGAAATTATTAAGGAAAATCAGCGACTGGGTTTTGGTTGTCACCTGGTTCTCAAGGGTACAGTACTGCTTCCTTGGGAGCGTTTTGGAAACTTACCTTTTTTTCATCGCCACAATGATGAGAGGTTTGTTACTGAGACTAGAGGACAGGGACCAGGCATGCCAAGATGTTCTGGCATATAGCATTCCTAATGAATAATCACCTAATGAATACAGTTAATGATAGCGCTTAAAAAGTGGCGAAAGGACTGTTTATACTAAATTATAAGCTAAGCTGTAACACTGAACTATTCCAGTCCCTTTCAAATTGTTTACATAGCAAAGTCATGGTTGACTCCTGACAATTTAGAAGATTTATGCCGCCGCTCTCGGGATAATGAAAATGTTTTGGCCGGTCGCGGTGGCTCAAGCCTGTAATCCCAGCACTTTGGGAGGCCGAGGCGGGTGGATCACGAGGTCAAGAGATCGAGACCATCCTGGTCAACATGGTGAAACCCCGTCTCTACTAAAACTACAAAAAATTAGCTGGACGTGGTGGCGCATGCCTGTAATCCCAGCTACTCTGGAGGCTGAGGCAGGAGAATTGCCTGAACCCAGGAGGCGGAGATTGCGGTGAGCCGAGATCGCGCCATTGCACTCCAGCCTGGGTAACAAGAGTGAAACTCCGTCTCAAAAAAAAAAAAAAAAAAAAAAAGA